GGTCAGGAGAGGTCTGCTGCGCCATGTGGATCTCCTCCGGGGCAGGCGGCGATCTAACTCAAGTGGAATTGGCTTAAGCTTCGTAGTGCAGTGCTTTAACCCGCTGCGCCACCAGGGAGGGCCATCTTTTTCAATCAGTGTTTTTGTGTCTTTTGGGTAGATACCTAGGAGTGAGATTGCTGGGTCAAGAAATCCTGCCATTTATAACAGGGTTGCACCTGGTAGGTTATTAAGCTTAGTGACATAAGTCGACAAATGAAAGAGAAACACTCTATTATTCCACTCATAGGTGGGGCATAAAGAATAAAAAAATGAACTAAATAAAATAAAAATACTTAGACTATAAGACCAAATTAATGGTCACCAGAAAGGAAGAGAGAAGGCATAGGATATTGGGAGAAAGAACTCAAGTGTATGGAGATGGATGAAATTAAACTTTTAGTGGACACACACATATGTAGAGAGAGTTACACACACACACACACACACACACACACACCGAGGTGTTGATTTATAATAAAGAAAAAAAGATTCACAATGAAGATAGGAGAAAACATTTACTCGTTAAAAAAAAATTGTGTTAACAATTGTTTTACATCTTTTTTTGTGTTTTAGAGGTATAGGAGCCTCTTCTCCAGGTGTTGTTACTACATCACACCCACCACCAAAACACCCACAGTCCCTCTGTATGTGGATACTTAGTCCCTTGTGCTCCTGTACCACTTTGTTCTGGCCCTTCCCCCTCTGGAATTCCACTTCTATATTGATGCTACCTTTGCTTTACCTCATCCTTTCTTTGGTATCTCTATATTTCACATGTAATTGACTCTGTCCGTATTTGTCTTTCTCTTTCTGACTTACTTAGCTTAGCAGAACCCTCTTGAATTCCATTCATGTTTCCACAAGTGGCAAAAGTTTGACTTTTTGATAGCTGAGTAGTATTCCATTGCATATATGTATAACTTCCTGACTATGTAAACATAATAAGTACCCAAATATAGATGAATGGATCAGAAAATTATGGCAAAAAAGATTTACTCAATTAGCATCTTTTAAGTATATAAACAGTATTAACTGTAGTCATTATGCTGTACATTATTAGATCCCCAGAAATTATTCATCTAATAACTGGAAGTTTGTGGCCCATTCAACAAAAGCTCTCCATTTTTGCCCAAACCCCAGTTTCTAGAATCATTATTTTACTGTTTTTATGAGTTTTTTTTTAATATTCCATGTATAATTGAGATCACATACTACTTGTCTTTCTCTGACTTATCACAATGTGCTTAAAAGCAATTCAATGGCAAAATTTCCTTCCTTCTCACGACTGAATATAATATATATACATATACACATACATATGTACACATATTTGACTATTATATCTTTTATGTGTGATTCTTCCAGCTTTGTTCTTTCTCAGGATTGCTTTGACTATCTGCAGTGTTGTATTCCATATGAATTCTAGGATTGTTTTATCTTTTTGTGAAAAATGTCATTGGAATTTTGATGGGATTGCATTAAATCTATAGGTAGGCTTTTGTTAAAATACTATTCTCATTGATAAACATGGGACATATTTCTATTTATTCCT